GTGTAATCTTCCGATCTGCAAACATGTTCTTGGATCGGGCCGACGCCTCAGAGTCTGCCACGCCCTCCCTGCGGAGATTATCAGGCAACACAGACCTTGCTCCGGTGGACATTGGCCCCATCCATCTCCCTACCCCGGCCAATGTTCCCAACAGCCCATACGCAATCAGTCACTCGTCGTCATTCCCATCGCCCAGGTCACCCATGTCAGTGGAAGTACAGCGCATCTCTACAGCACCGTCGTCGATCACGGATGAGAACAACTTTCAGTCTTTGCTTCTGATGGGCGAGCCTGGACCCGAGGTCCGAATCTCCATGGACTACGACATCCCCTCGCTGACATCAAGCAACTCGACCATGACTCGAGACAGCATGTTCATCCCGGGTCAGCGCATGTCCCAGCCCACGATGCGAGAGCTGCGACCAGTCTCGGTTTCATCCACAGCCTTCGGACGGCGACGATCAAGTCTCGCCAGCCTCAGCCGGCTCATCAGCAGCTCACACGGGGAGCGCAGCAAGCTCTCGATGGAAGTCACGTTGGACAATGAGCCCAATTCCAAGAAGTCCAAGAACAGCCGGACAAAGCGACTGAGCCGCATGATGCAGTTTTGGAAGCCCCACCACAAGGAGAGCGCATCCAAATAGAACAGTCCAATAGAGGCTCTCAACACACCAAAGTAGGCATTGGTCGTTTTCCAGACCATGTCATTACGATTGTATATGGATATTATGTACAGCACATTTCATATTTGCGCTCGCGAAAGATCCAGTCATCCCAGCTTCGGCTACAAGCTGTCGTCGGCTAGGTCCAGACGCGAGCGCACCGGCCTTGACTGGGGCATGTGGCAAACTGATTTGCACCACGGCCCTATGGAAGGATCTATTATTCAGTAAAGGGACAGGGCGCAGCGTTTTTTAATGATAGCATGAACAGCATTTGGTACTTGGCACAAGCGAGCCCTGGCTCCCTAGCCAGTAACAGTGGCCCGTGGTTGAGTCGGGGTTCGCGGGGAGGGGGAGGGAGAGAGACGTTGGTTTCTCTGGACATAGGACAAGAGGGGTGGAGATTGGATGATATGCCCTTGTCGGCGGTTGTTTGGGGATGGCCGGGTAGAGTAGATTAGGCACTTGAATGGCAAGGGTGGACAGCCGGGTTGATTGATACAGAACTATTAATGAACATAGTGATGAAACTAGCTTTGCACCCGCACAACGCGGGTGTCTGGTGTCATGTTTCATGTTGATAGGAGTTGGGTCACTTGCAATCTAATTCATCAGTCGTCAATTGTGTACAGGTTCTACCTGGTCTGTCTTTACGTGAGAAGAAAATCTGTCTGTCGAGCACAAGGTGCAAGCAGGGCCGCGCATGAAGCCACCCAGGACGCAAGAAACAAGGTAATCAAGATGCCATCCATAACGCCCACAATTTCCAAAAACGTCTCTAGGGCAAGGTCTTGCCGCACACTGTACTTTATATTCCGTTACATAAACTTCTTGGCCATGTCGGCCAATCCACCACCACCCCAGCTGTTCTGCTCACGGCCAGACGAGCCGCCGCCAAGACCACCGGAGGCCATGCGGACAGCGTCGCCAACGAGGCCAACGGAGTCGCCAGATGCGGCCTTGGACGCGGTGCTCAGCATGCGCTCGATCATGGGCGGGATGCGCAGGCCGAAGCGAGCGAGCAGGGCGGTCAGGAAGCCGCCGGTGATGAGGGGCATGATGACCAGGAAGAAGACCTTCCAGGGGTGGCGCTTGGCCCAATGGACCAGGTCGCGGAACAGACGCTTCACTTGCTTGTACGACTTTTGGATGAAGCCCTGGCGGGGAGAACGCTTGTAGTATGACGAACGGTCTGTGGAGACAGTGGTCAGCGGTTGGAATTCATCGGAGGTCCCTGTCTCATTATGCTCGTGGGACCATGTTCGGGGGGACCCATCTGGTGGGAGGTGGTCCTTGCGAGAGGCGATATTGCGCGAGGTGGAGAGGGAAACATACTGGAACCGAAGAAGCTGGAGCGGCTGGTATTGCCGCCGAGTCCGAAGAACGAGCCGCGGGACGAGTGATGCTTGTCATGGCGGTCATGGCTGTCGCCGCCGAAGATGGAGCCGGCGATGGAGCGGCCGCTGGTGCGGCGGTTGCGCGAACTAGAGCGCGAGCGCGAACGGGATCCCGAGCGGCGCTTCTTGTGAGGGCGCTTCTTGTGGCGGGAGGAGCGGCCGGAGATGATGGAGGCGCCGTCGTTGAACGAGTCGAGGAAGCCCATGGTTGCGGGCTTTGGTGTTGTTGCGAGAGGGGAGAGAGCTGCAAGAGGTTCTCGCTCTTCTTGGTGGGCGTTGTATGAGTGAGACGAGGCTGGGGATGTGTTCCAGTCAGGCGGGGAAAGAGATGGCGCGTCAATTGACAATAAACAAAACAGTTGTGCGAGTACGATCGCGCAACCGTATGGATTCGCCCGTCTGGATCCCCTCTCTCGTTTATGCCGGTGTTATGAGAGAGAAGAACCGGTGCGGACGCGAATTGCGGGATGCAGTATGCAGGATGCGCAGATGCAAGTCAGTCCAGAGAAGGAGCAGGCCATGGACCCGCGGCTCCTCCCTCACCGTAAATTCGAGTGGCTGGAGCGCTTCCCCTGCGTGGAGCCAGGCCGACAGGGATAGCGCTTTTAGTCGGGGCAAACAGGGATTATAACCAATAAAGTAAGGTCACAGTCGTGCTCCATACGTACCAAGAACACAGACATGACTTCTCAGTTCTTCAACGGCCGTTTGTGAACTGTCATAATATCAGAATGACACCTGTGGATACAGTACACAATGCTTGCGAAGCTGTAACAAGGGAGGCAAAAAGATCAAAAAATTCGTCACCTGCAGGATTCGAACCTACGCGACCGAAGTCACAGCCTTAGCAGGGCTGCGCGTTAACCACTCCGCCAAAGTGACATCTCATTGTTGTAATCTTTGGTGTGAGTTTCTCATTATAGTATTGGATTGCAACCCGTATGATCTTTCGTGATCAATCCGCCGTCTCGATTTTCATTCTCAAACCACAAACCACATGTTTATCCCCAATAGCCAGGACCATATTCCCGATATATTTCATATCCTCAAATATTTTATGTGAATAAGTATTGTTGTTCGCGCGCGCACTCACTGCCATATAGACGAATGGTTGTTTACTGCATTCGCCGTCACTTAGTACGACTTCTTTACCCTCAAGCGCTGGCGGACTTTGGGACGATGTCATCTCCGCTCCCAGTGTCGCTGCCGCTGCTACCATAGCCTTTTCGTCTTCCTCGTTTTCCATCGCGGCCAGTTCCCCTATGAATACTTGAGCGTTCGATGTGCAAAGGTCGTTAATCGTTGACATTACTACGCAGAAATGTGAAAATGAACGAATAGTGACCAGAGATGTGTAAATGATGGAACTTAAAAGGGAAGAGAATCTGCTGCAAATGTATGTATATAGACATAGCAAACTTCGGAAGGGTAGAGTTGTGACAGTGTTGATAATGCTAGAGAGGATAGAAGTGATGCCCAGGTCAAGTGGACTATGGGGATTATAATAGATGTATAAAGTAAAACGTCTTTAAATCAAGATACTATGCGCCTTTGTCTTATCTGAAGGGCAATTGCTCAGCAGATGCCTCGCGTGCGAGGCACCCCTAGGATACAGCTAGCTACGCGTATCAAGAAGAAAGTCGTACGTCGTGTAGCATAGGGAAGTGAAGGGTCCATAAAAATTCGGAAATTTTTGCAATTATTATTTACTTTACTACAGTCAGAAGTCGAACATTGAGGTGTGTATATATTCTGCAGACGACAAGGATGATCTCTGTAAGACCCATACTAACAGTCAGTCCCTCCCCACCCCTCCTTTCGCAGACCGAGTCTCTTGGACAAAGGAGGACGCAGCTGAATGACTGTGCCAAATTCAATCTCACTCAAGTTACCATTATCCGATAACTATTTCAAAAAGTCGATAGTCAACTTTAAGGGGGGGGTAGATAACGGCCGTCGCCACCACTGTAACCGCTGTCACAGCCCAGCTAGTCGCACCCACCTCGAAGGCACATCCGGCCTGAGCCCCTAAGTTAAACAGGGTAGGTGGCAGTCTCATATATTAGGCGAAGTTCGCTCGTCTCTCTCCCTTTCCCTCTTCCTTCAGCCTCTCCAGCCCCTTTCATTCCAGTGGTCCGGGGTCGCGAGGTATGTACAGAGTATTGATATACATAGTTACCATACTCCCCAGTCTAGAATAAGCAATGGATACCGGGCGGTCGAGGATGTAGGACATAGGAGAACGCACTACGACTACATACATTCTGACCAAAAAAATTGAAGAAAAAATATTCGTCACCTGCAGGATTCGAACCTACGCGACCGAAGTCACAGCCTTCCTGGGACCTACAGTGATCAACTGGGAGCATGTTCGGACACTAGCAGGGCTGCGCGTTAACCACTCCGCCAAAGTGACTATTGATGAAAGTTCGCGAAGTATTGGGTCCCAAGGACAACGTGCAAGCCGATGGAAATACAACAAAAAATGAGCAAAAGATGAACAAAAAAACACTCGTCACCTGCAGGATTCGAACCTACGCGACCGAAGTCACAGCCTTCCTAGGACCGACTTTCATCAATTATGATCAAGTTTGGATGATAGCAGGGCTGCGCGTTAACCACTCCGCCAAAGTGACTGTTCGATGTAAACGAGGCAAATATCCAAACCCAAGGACACCGTGTTGATAGTGATGGGAATACTGTGAGAACGAGCGGCAAAAAGATATGTTCCGTCACCTGCAGGATTCGAACCTACGCGACCGAAGTCACAGCCTATTCTATGTCGATATTAATCAACTTAAATCAACTCGGACAATAGCAGGGCTGCGCGTTAACCACTCCGCCAAAGTGACTATGGATGACAATTCAGGAAATATCAGGACTCAAGGACACCTTGTCAAAGAGACTATCTATCGTAAAGCAAGTGCAAAAAAAAAAGAATCGTCACCTGCAGGATTCGAACCTACGCGACCGAAGTCACAGCCTATTTTAGACCGATATTGAACAACTTGAATCAAGTCAGACAAGTCAGACGATAGCAGGGCTGCGCGTTAACCACTCCGCCAAAGTGACTATTTGAGTGAAAGTCGGAGAAATATTACAGCATATAGTGGCACTAATGTGGGGAAGAGAACCAGGGCGGTACAGGCTAACACCCGACTGGTCGCATCACCCACTATAGTCCTTGCGCTACCACTGTAAAAATTGCGTGGAATCGGCGGTCCCATACTCTTTCTGATTATATATAGTGCTATTACTAGGCTTTGGGGGTGAGGGGTACGGGGATCACATTTCTGGTGGTGTTGCTGTGTAGGTAGGTATGTTCACTAAGGTGACTTTGTTGCACCATGTCTCAGTCCGGAATGAATGTGAAAAACACCATAGCCAACACTTGTCTTTTTCGGACAGCATATCCCAGTGTCGTCACTCGCAGATAATCGAGTCACTCACTCCCCTCCTTGTTTTTTCTTTCTATAAATCAAGCAATTGATAGTTGCTGTGTCGTACTCCTCGCAATTGGTTGGCATGAGGTCTCGGGTAGGTCGACACAGAGCAGGACCCACCACGAACAGGGGACATTGGCAACCTAGGACATCAGAATCACACAATCCGAAGAACTCGAAATGATGACAGCAGGTAGGGAATGTGGTCGAGATATCACAGAAATGTGATCTCAAAATCAGGACCGCCAGCATTGATCATGAACCTCGTCATTGATCGCGTGAGCTGCAAGCCTCTGCCCCCACACGGGAATGGAGTCTCGTCTCCGCCAAGGGCTAGGGCACCTGCATGTTGATAATGGGGCTTTGGCACGAAGACCCTCCATCGAAGAAAGCAATTTGGCGCAGTGGAAGCGCGGTATGTTCATAGTCCAAGTCTGTTGCACCTGTTCGAATACTAACTTGCTCCAGCCGGGCTCATAACCCGGAGGGTACGTCTCACATTCAACTCTGATACATCAACGATCAGCGTTAACTGACTCCGAATTCAGTCGCACGATCGAAACGTGCAATTGCTAAGCAATACGCCTCATTCGAGGCAGTTCTTTTTTGTTGTTAGAGAAGGGCATCGTTGTTGGTTTGCCCTGTCATCTTTTTAGCCCATCGAGTCTTGAACGAGATGCGAGATGTGTATGGCTTGGCTTGTAGGGACGATACCCAAAGCGATAGAGAGGGAGAGATGTAATGCGAATATCGAGCCTCGACACCGTAGTGACAGAGGGCCTTACCCTCCGACAAAGACTTCGTTTTCAATATTTACTCAATAGAAAGACTCCAAATTCATCTCTTTGACCTTTTTATTGCCCATACTTGATTATTTTGCCTGGTCATTAACCACGGTAAAATCCACAGGGCCATGCACGGCCCGGCGATGATGCATGAGGCGGCTTATTGAAGCCATTCCGTGATGCTACCACAATACCGCGCTGCACCAAGTATGATATTCAGATCGAGACATACTTATATCTAGGAATTGAAGTTTCAGTACTCGAAGTTGTTGCGAATGCACCTGAACTATGACATAATTTAGATCCTCGATCATTTTTGAGACGAAATGGACCCCACCAGGGCATGCCCCTCCCACATTTACCACTTGCACTAAGTAGGGCAATAGTGACAGACCTTCCGCATCACGAAAGCAATTTGGCGCAGTGGAAGCGCGGTATGTTCTTGATCTCTTCTTAAGAAATCTAAATTCCTTACTAACTGATATCAGCCGGGCTCATAACCCGGAGGGTACGTCTTACATTCAACTTCAGGCAGTCAAACAACAACTCACACCTAATCAGTCGCACGATCGAAACGTGCAATTGCTAAACAGAAACCTCATTCGAGGCATTCATTTTTTTGTGTCAACATAACCCTGTTCCTTTTTTATTGTCTGTGAAAGTTATCCAATGCTTCCTTGATGGCGAAAGTAAGACGGTCAGGACACTGTGAGGCCCCACGCCACCAAAGCCACAACTGAGTCACTGCCAAATCCTAATGCGCTCTAGATTCTAGATGGCAAGTGTTGCTAGCTGTCAACTGTCAACTTCGTTCCCCGTGTGTTCCATGTTCGGTCCAGGCTCTACTCGCAATGTTCGAGCAAAAAGTCAACCAGCAGAATAAATCGACGACAAAACCACCAAAAATAACAAAAAAGAGCCCACTCGAAGTGGTGTAATGCTTGCTAGCAATTGCACGTTTCGATCGTGCGACTGAGGTACAGAGTTAGCTAGTGTTGCTATATCTGGAGTCGAAGGATAGGCTTACCCTCCGGGTTATGAGCCCGGCTGGGATGAATTAGTTTCGACCCGATGATTGAAGAATTCAAGTATGAACATACCGCGCTTCCACTGCGCCAAATTGCTTTGTTCCTGTTGGAAACGGCCAGCTTATTTTCACTTTCACGGGTAGTCCCGTAGCGGGGCAGTGTGAGTCTGCCACAGTGGGGTTCGCGACACTCGCTCCCCACGTTGGAGCGTCCTTGGGCGTGTTGATGGGACAATATCAGGGAGCCTGCATCAAATTTCTCAATCACGAGCTGGGTACGACACAGGGAATTTTCTTTTAGAGTTACCGAACAACGAGTTAATTATATTAGGTATTGGAATTCTCATACAAGCACAAGTTTTTTCACCAAAGCCTCAGCTAAACCAATGTCCCAACCATGTGCGCTGTCAAAGGGTGCATTTTTAGACTCAGAACTTGCCTTTTTTATTAAATCTAAATCTACTCTGATTCCCTTACCTAGCAGGTTAACTCTCCTAAGGTGGATGAGTTGCGTTTCCAAACCATGTCGGCACACCCTACGAATGCCCAACTGCAGCTTCCCGCGCTCTGGTATCGCGGCTCCTGGTTGGCGCTCCTTATTGTGAGCACAGTTTGCACGCGCTAGTTCGCCTGGTGGAGGGGCTGCACGGCATGCCAGTGGCCCTTTGTGACACACGCGTGCGGGTCTGTGACGCACCGCTGAGGCATATAATGTTATGTTTGCCTACTCCTTCCAATCAGAACCAAAGCAATTTGGCGCAGTGGAAGCGCGGTAAGTTATCACATCCGAGCATAAGAAATCTCGAACTTTCACTAACTCACCATAGCCGGGCTCATAACCCGGAGGTCGTACGATCGAAACGTATAATTGCTATTTTTTTGTCGATTTATTTGATTCGTAACCATGCGGTTCCGTGATATTCATTTTTGCCGCGATGGTGGTTCAAGCGGGCGCACCCACTTTGGGTCGGGCTCGTCGACAGAGCCGCTAGAGCCGCTTCTGGATTCGGACATGTAGTTCCGATTTGGGAAAACCTTCAAACTCTAACCCCATTGCTGGGTCGAGCACCTTCCTCTTCCATGCCGGATTGATTGACCTCTCGTGAAGGCGTGACCGATGGTCCTCATATTGATTTGGCACCGTGACTGAACCTTTTCCAAGTGTCGTGCGAAAAGGACGTGCAAAAAGAAAAGGGCGTGCGATCAGGGAACGGATTTCAAGACAACGGGTAGACAACGGGAAACCAACGCTGAATTCCAAGTAACTGGGTCCGCGTGGTGTCTCAATTCTGTCATCTAATAAATGACTGGACATTGACAATGGCTCTTGGCCAAGGTAAACTATTTAACAACAAAAATGTGTACAGCGGCCTTCGGTCTCCGTTTCGAGATACATCTCAAAACTTGGTGTTATTGAACAGCATCTCAACATACTGGGGAAACCAAACTCCAGCCTTTGGTGCTCCTGGGAATCCCCCTTTAATATTTTCTCCATCACTCTCACCCGGGGGTTTCACCCAGACGATGCTGTCCACATATTGGTTTCCTACAGGTGTTCCAGGACGTATCCCAAACGAGGCAGGGTTGAGATTGCCCCAGTCCGCCCACGACTTTCTTTTACCTGGAATAGAATTGCGACTCTGGTCGACAATGAACCGCAACGGTAGCCCCACCTGTTTGAGATACGGAACAAGGGCCAAGATGTAGTGGGACTCATCCCACGACCTCGACGGCACGGTATATGATTCCGGGCCCTTGGCGTTGAACAAGTTGAAATTGGACACGTTGGTTGAGAATCCCCTAATCTGGATTGCGCGACCCTTCGAAGCGTCCTTGGCAATCTTGAAGATTTTGGCCAACTCGGTGGCAGCTATGATATGTTAATGACGGGTATATCATGGGACTGGAATCACGCTTACTGGGCCCAAGAGTATCGTCCCATCCGAGCCACCCACCGTTCGCCGCGTCTATATACAGACTGATGTGCGAGAACTGCAGCGACAGGATTGAATAGGCAATCGCCCTTTCATACAAAGGGGCAACTCGATTGACGAATTCTTGAACATTTTTTTGAGTGACAAGATTCCCCATCGCATCTGGCTCCAGGATGATGGCAAAGTCCAAGTCTGTGGCCGCGGCAACCTTCTTTGCAAAAGGCTTGACGTAAGTCTCCTTGTAAGCCGTCAAGCCGGCCTCGGTGGCCGGAAACTCTCCCCAGCTCTTTCCACCACTCCAGTCTCTGCCTGGAATATCGTAGAGAACCAACCCCACCATCTGTTGGACTCCCGTGAGTTTCTCCTTGGCACGGGCGGATGAGATGGCCTGGTCGATGTCGGGAAGATTCGCCTTGCTGGAGATCCAGACAAACGTGCCAGTGCCTTGAGCGACTCTGACCTTGGCGGCGTTCGCCTCATCTGTCCGGTTCTTGAACAATTGGTATGTCGGCTCCAACTTACTGGCCCAGCTAGGATTGACAAGGAGCGTTTTGCCATTCCAAGGGTTGGCGGTGGTGGCCGCGGCTCGGGCCTCAATTGTGTGATCTTCTGTATCCATGACTGTTTTGGAGGGCTTGTGATGGAAGCGTCGGCGATGCAAAGCGGGTTTCCCCAAAACAGGCAAGAGAGTGGATTCTCCATCGTAGGGTAAGTCTGGTTCTTATAGATTGAGAGATATCAGCCTTGGGCAAGTCCGACAGTTGAGGCAACGGAAACCACTCACTGCGGTTGACATGCGACCCATACTGGCGCTCAGCTCTCACTAGCGCCTGGACGCAGAGCAGCAAGCCCAACCAAAGCAAAGCTGGGCGTCTCATGTTTACAAATTTGAATCAGAACAGCCACTTTTCAGCTCTCTCAGAGTCGCCACATTTTCAGCTCAGTGTCGACATTCATGTTTGGATGGGCACCCGATTTAGAAGACGGCGCTGGTGACCAAGATGCAGCACTTGGCAAGAGTTTATATCTGTGCCTTGCATCTTTCTAGCTGAGCCCCTTTTAAAATTGGGAGCTGTTTAATTGGCATCGCCTCACTTTAGCTTAGCCCTGGTCGGATACGGCTCTGTCTAGCATTCCTGAGACTCAATAGTCGACGGGAGCTGAGGAGCCGGATCCACGCTAGTGGTCTAGACTACGCCAGCGCAGCCCGTTCAGGCAATCACAAGTTCAGTACCTGTTGCCAAGTGTCTCGCTCGACGATCAGTCAGGCAGACTCACAACAGTCACACACAAATTGATTTAAGAGCCAGACATTCTGTTCGGGTCATACGCCACAACGCCGATCATTGTTAATGAGATGAGTGATCGGGTTCCAAGCTTTTCATTGTTACCACGCCGCTCGTTGGTCGCATTGAGACATTCACATGAGACTAGGAAATCTGGGCTGCTAAAAGACCTCATTCGGCGATGCGACAATTATAACGTTGTTTACTTTAGTAACGTTGGCGGGCGGTTATATCATGAGCATTGGTATTCGCACACATATATATTGTACTCGCACACATAACTACATTCTTCAATTCTGCTGGTAATTATCTATTATTCTAATCAATTACTTAAAAGACTAATTCTTAGTATTTATTCCCTTAACCTTTTATTTATTTATTTTTGTCTAGAGACAGGATTCCCCAGAAATCATCGCATTATGCGCTCTACAGAACACAATACACAAGCAACTATAAGGATCAAGAAGAGCCCAGCTATATTTAGGATGACCAGGCTCGCAAAAGCCTGGATGTAGTAGCCTGGTTCCAGAAACGGAAGCTCCGTGTCAGTTTCTCTATGTAAACCAGCGTGAGAATGACGCCTCGGGGTCCTCCAGTGCGGGCATAGACGAAGAGGCTCGTTGCTGTCGCACCCTGAGAACCTGGCGAGCTTGGAGATCTCGGGGTTGGAGAATGCGTTGATGTGATGTTCCCTCCAGAATAAGCCTGCGTTGCGCGTGTGGTCGCTGGAGCTGCTCGGTGGCTGAACCGATTTGTTGGTGTGGCTGGTTAAGTAAGCTCCAGGGTAGCTCCCCACCTTTTCGGCCAAGCCCCACGTTGTCTTCTTTACATTGGTTCCGCGGTACCCCTGTCGCAAAGGCTTATTTGGAACGCAAGGGGTCCTCAAGTGGCCACGACATTCACGTCGCAAGTCCCTTTTTTCCCAACCCTGCCCGGCGCGGATCGACTTTTCTTGTTCCCCTTCTTTTCTCGCATTGGTCCATTGGCTCTGCACTCGGAGTCTCTGGCAAATCGTGTCTTCAACAGCTGGCTTCCTGATCCAGCGTTCGCTTGTTACTGCCGCCGCAGTATCTTGCGACCTCCGTCGACCTCCACGTCGACCTCCTCGTCGACCTCCTCGTCGACACGCTTCCGACCACCTGTCAGCGCCGCTCGACGTATCATGCAAAGATGAAGATCTCGTACCTTTCCGTTGGGCTTCTGGCCGTGCTGAGCCCCCTGACGGCAGCATGGAGCAAAGAAGGTTCGTCAAACCCAACGACGGGACTGCGGCCACATCGCTGACATTTACCTGCTACCAGATCGTGAAATTTTCCGCATTCGAGATGAGATCATGGCCTACGAGTCGGACCCGTCCGTCACCTTCTACGACATCATCGGCGTTGTTCCCTCTGCCACCCAGGATGACATCACCAAGGCGTACCGCAAGATGACCCGCTCCCTCCATCCCGACAAGGTCAAGCAGAAGCTCAAGAACGAGAAGGTCAAGAATGAGAAGAACTCGGGCGTCAACATCAAGCCTCCTACTCCTGCCCAGATCAAGACTGCTGTCAAGAAGGCCAGTGAGGCCCAGGCTCGCCTCTCCCTCATTGTCAACATCCTCCGCGGCCCTGAGCGCGACCGCTACGACCATTTCCTGAACAATGGCTTCCCCCGCTGGAAGGGCACCGACTACTACTACAACCGATACCGCCCTGGTCTGGGAACGGTCATCACCGGCCTGTTCCTCGTTCTTGGCGGAGGCGTCCACTACCTGATCATGTACATGAGCTGGAGGCGCCAGCAGGAGTTTGTCCAGCGCTACATCAAGTTCGCCAGGGATACCGCCTGGGGCAATGGTCTCAACATGCCGGCCCTTGAGACTGCACCTACGCCGCCTCCCGCGCCGGCTTCTGACGAAGATGAAGGCCCCCCTCAGCCCATGAACCGAAGACAGCGAAGAATGCAGGAGAAGGAGACCAAGCGCGAGGGCTCAAAGCCCGCCGGAAAGAAGGCCCGCAAGGCCCAGACCCCCGCGAAGGAAACCTCAGCTTCCCCCGCTGCGCCATCTGGTGCGCGCAAGAGGGTCGTCGCTGAGAATGGCAAGATCCTCGTTGTTGACTCACTGGGAGATGTGTACCTTGAGGAGGAGGATGAAGAAGGAATTGTCAATGAGTTCCTCCTTGATGTAAGTCCCCACTCTCCACTCTCATTTGTATGTGACTAGAGTGCTAATATGATACAGCCCAATGAGATTGCTAAGCCCACCTTCACCGACACCGCTGTCTTTCGCGCTCCCATCTGGCTTTTCAACTTGACTGCCGGTCGTTTCATCCCCAAGAAGCCTGCCAACCTCGAGATCGAGGTCGAGCTCGATGACGATGACTCAGATGTGCCCCAGCGCACCCCGAGCACCGACTCCGCAGGCGAGGACTTTGAGATCCTCGACAAGAGCACCGACTCGTTGAACAAGGCCAAGGCCTCGGGCGCCCAGCAGGGAGCCAAGGCCAACAAGAGAAAGGGGAGAAAGAAGTAAACGGGACGGATCGCGCATGGTCGCTTGATCCGTAGATAGCCACCGTACTAAAATGTTGCGATGAAAATAGAACGGCATGCTAGGTGGCTCCCTTATGGCCTCTGATGCTAATGTTTTGCGCCTCGAGGAAGCAAATTTT